TTTTCATTAATTCGTGATTATTTTAGGTCCTCGCCAGAAACTGTGAAATGTATCTGGGAGTATCACAAACATCGTTTATATACGTTTTTGAAATCGAACACCTTAACAAGCTTGGAGAGTCTAGTGCATAAAATAAAATATGTTTATCGGTTTTCCGAGTTAACTCACAGGTGGTTTCAGAAATAGCAATGGTTACATATTTTCAGATTCAGACTTTTGAGATGTCAAACAGTATAAAAGAGTATATGTTACGCCACTGTGCTCGCAGCATCAATCCCTGTGTATCGGCCGCTTCGTATTATCAATATTTATCTCCTTATAGCGGCCAGCTGTTGATTTTCCCATCTTTTAATTTATTAATTATAAAGTGTAGCGTCTTATGCGGTACACAGTAGCCCGATACTCGACGGTGCAAAGCAGAGGCTAGGAAGATCGCTCCGCTGGTATAAATACCATTTTTTATTAGTTCTTTCACACGCTACCCACCGCCTCATTAATAAAAAATAAAGAATTTCTAGTCACAATAAATCTTCGGTAAACACGCTTTTGTTGGTGGTTGTGTAGCGCACTCTGTGGTGTGCAACGAAATATGAATATCAGATGACCGGCGGCCAATCTTCTCAGGCTGTGTTATCGCAAGACACATCTTTCTCGTATGGGTGCATGGCGAATCATAAATTATTGATTAAGATGCCTTACGTTTACAGATTTATTGGTAAATGTGTCGGGGGACGAGCTCCAGTATGCTCAAGCCGCAGTGTGGAATGCCTTAGTTTCAAACACAGAATTAATACGTTTATGCAAGTTTTGCATAGTACATATGGAGGGATATCCTCTGTTTGACGCAGACTGTCTTTCAGTTTGGCCAGAAGGTGTAGCAACACCTCTGCGTCTTGGGCGTATGGGTCGAATGTATCAGCGATGGAACACCAGATGGCAACAGTCACCTCCCGCACTGAATTAATCATGTGCGGCCATTCTCCGCGACCACAGTTTCTTGACAGCATAATGTTAAATGACAATGGCCTGTGAAAGCACACCTACCTTATGCCCCATGTGTGGCCAGTTAGCAAAATGGAAGATAGTTGAGAAAGGCACTGTACGTCACTGTTGACACAATAAGTTCAAAGACGTCTGATTACCCCACTTTTTCCATGTTGGTACTTACGAGTACTAGACCCCGGCCGCTAAGCCTGGGGACACGTGAATTTGTGTGGTTTTTCACTGTCTTATTCTCGGCCTCATAAGTTCCTCGAAAAATCCCGAGAACCGCGACTATTTTTTGCCGTATTTAGCCCGCGAATTATCCGAATCAAAAGGTTTTTCGAGACTTACGAGAAACAAGACGCTATTGTCAAGTGCCAGACTCTAGCCGATAAGTTCTTAGAATACCATTCTTTTCGGTTTCATCTTATTTAGCAATGCCGCAGTATTGCTAACATCGTTAATACAGAACAGCTGTGAGGAGGTACTGATGAGAGAGCCGTAGTATATCCGACGATTCAGCAATTTTCTAATGATACACCAGCTTCAAGAAACCTTATTGACAGCCAGTTAGGCTCCTAACATCTTCAAATTAAGTTGGACGATTGACTAACGTATTCTACCTGAAGATAGCCAACCTAATGCTATATATTTTTTGTACCGAAGCAGCCGCTTAGGCAGAAACACAATCTATACTTTGAAATGGTTAGTCTTTCACAAAGGGGGCGGTAGCTGTGACAACGTCTCCTAGATGACGATAACGATATCTCATTTTATCCCAGACAACTTTTTGAACGCTGGAATATAGCATTAGGTTGGCTATTTTGAGAGACGGTAGTCAATGGTTGGACGCTACAAGACAATTCACGTTTTGGATTCAAACGCAATAGTTCAAAGAAATGACTAAATTATGAAATTTTAGAAATTACGCATTCTGAATCATTTTCATTTCCAGAATTTATTATTATAGTTATTAATTAGCATTTCTGCAACGAATACCTAGTGTGCATGAACTATATAATAAACCAAAACCTAGCGCGCGCGCGCGCACACACACACACACACACACAATGTTATACGGATTATCATTTCATCAGAACTGAACTAATAATCATGTGTCACCGAAAAGAACGACTACCTATTTCTGTTGTGAACTCTAAATTATAAGTCAAAAACCTAACACCTACAATGTTACACGTTAATGCGTATATCTAATACAACCATCATTTCCGTTGCTAACTCATTTGTTATTGCAGAATTCACTGACTTCACGCATGTGTGAATACGCGTACGAGTATTTGTCAAAATAAAAAAATGGGAAAAATTAACAGTCTGCGTACACAACAAAGGCACAAAAAACTAGTGATAACACTGTTCGATAAGGCGGGTTCGACTTCCGTTTCCGACAGTACTTCTACAAAATAAATTGACGATAAAGTGGAATAATCTAAGTTCAATGGCAGAATGTATTGATAGAACGGAAAGCGGTGATCCTATATGCGTTTTAAATATACACCATGCTTTTGTTTGGATTTTATGTATCCCGTATTCGAAGGCTATTGCTGAATAAAATTACACACTGAAAATCCTTTGTTGACACTGCTAAACAACCTAAAAAGACGAGGTGCGACAATCTTCGCACTTCTGTTAATTTTTTGAATTTTAAGATCTGCTAGAACTTCATGATTGTCTGACCAAATGCAACCACATGTGTGAACTATATCTTTGACGTTTCGGTCACCGCGGTGATATATAATTTGAAGCACCGGAGCAAGCACATGATTCAAGTGCACAAATTCTCTTGAAATTTTAACCGATTCGAAATACCGGGCACTTGCAAAAAAATAGGGTTCTTCTAATGAAATATGCTCTGAAACCAAAGAGATCACTTCATTTTAACATCTATTTAGATGTTGCTAAATCACAAAAACTTATCAGGTGGCAAGTAATAATTAATTGGTGTCTGTAAGCTTCAACTTATTTATTATTATTATTCTTTATGATACTTCAAAGTTACGTTACTTAATTTATTTACTAGTATTTATTTAATTATGTTTTGTATTAGTGATACAAAATTTATCTATACTTATTTGTAAGCTATAAAACTTTATTTGAAGATGAATTAATTTGGTGCCGCCATGTTCAAACTTTATTACGAATTCTCAGTCAGGAAACGGTAAATATTTGCGTTATTTTAATAATTGAAAGTCACAATCCTAAAATCTCCCCATTATCAATTCGATTGTGAAACCTAAGCATTTAGGATCAAGTAATGTTGTTGTCCCCATTATTCTGGGCACCTGTCATAATTATTAATGTACTAGCGATTGTTTTGTTCTCTTTTGAAGTTAGTGCTATGAATAGATTAAAAAATTGAGCGTATCGAGAAAAATAGAACGGGCATTGACATGGATATTATATGAACTATGAGGTGGAAAATATGAGGAATCCGTGCCAGAAATATTTCGGAAAAATTCACATCATTTTATATGTGACGTCTTAATCTAAGATTGATCACACCTTTCAGAACCTGACTAATCTAATCTTGATGAGATGGCAAACTTTAGATTAATACTGAGACAAGCGACGATAGTTTTTCAAAAACTGCCACCGGCCGCGAAGTCATAAACAAACAATAATTAGAATAAACATGCTTTGCTTTTGTCCGTCCGACCAAAGACAGCCAAACATGGGCAGCTCTTACGTGCATTTTGGCTACTCCTCAGCATGATTTAGGCTTGAGTCTCAGACAACGAACGAAAGCATGGCAACTATATGATATCCAAAGTGTGTGATCTATCAAAATAACAAAGCGCGAAGCGCCGACTACCGGTATAATCGACCACCACAGCAAAACAGTGAATCGCAACCTAACGGTTGGGATTGTTTAGATCTCGGCCCGCTAAATTGGTGGCCCAGTCACCGCGTGACCGCTAGATGGCGACGATTCTAGCTGTGTAACAGATGTGGCCTACTTGCCATTGAACAAAATAATATAAAGATGCTCTGCTTTCGAGTTTCTCTCAAATCCACAGTAAAAAATAGCGTTTTTGAATTAAAAGCAACTTTATCATTAACTAAAAAAATCCTGAGTTTGATGTGATTCTAACGTCAGCCATATATGCTAGGTATACCTGAGAGGTATGCCTGTATACTGCCACATTTGTGCAAACTGTCATTTAAGGAATTTTTGTACAGTAGAGCACAGGGGGCGCCACACATGCTCAGCTTGGGGGCAATCAGTTAAACTGCACAGCTATACCCACATATAAAAAACAAAAATATTAAAAATTATTTTTTCAGGATATCTACTTGTACAAGTGTGGAATTCTATACATTATGTCACATACACGCTTCGCTGCGTTTTCTCATAAATTAGCATATATGGCTAACTTTAGATATGTTAGGTTGACCTGAGACTTAAAACTGCAAGTTCCTTGAGATTCAAGGGTCTGGGGAAGCACAAGTTACTCTCAAATCATGTAATCAGCGCATTTCTTTCAATGAAATAGGATCTGAGAAAATTCATCTTTCATTTATCATTTTTTCGCCGTTCCCAGTAGGTACAGTTTGGTGTTTGTATAAAGAAGGTTTGAAATGAGGAATTTTCTATATTCAGATCAGGTATCTTATGTACAAACGTACAATTTATTCGTTTTGGTATATCCAGTACTTCACGTGCACACATGTTCTAAAAGGGTTACGCAAATCAGGGCACTGCGTGACTCCTACGACAAACTATCATGTCCCGTCGCGCCGAAGCATCGATTTTCCACAATTTTCCCTCTATTTCTGACGCGTAAACGCGCCATAATTATATTTATAAATCAGCGGGATCCGCTTATCTAAGGTATTTCAATAAATCGCCGAGCTCGCCCTTTACTTATAATTTACAACAATCGCGAAGAATTCGCTAGTGCATTCGTAAGAATGCGTTGTCGGTCTCACTCTCTTATCCGCTGCTACAATCTAGACGGCTAATTCTATGATATACACAACGACAACAGAAGTTTATTATGTTGCATGCGCTGCGAACAAGTGAGGACAGGCCAGAGGGGCAAGGTAAACAGTGCAAACGATCCAGTTCAGCGCGTTCGGAGAACGGTGTTTTCATCTGGACGGTACGCCACTGGCACGCTTAAAGATACAGGCATAAGCGTGCTGTAAGTGTCACTATAAACCTTCGACTATGAAAACAGAATATGCATAGGAGTTAATTATCTGGCCGAATCAAACCACATTTACGCTTTAATCTAAAATCTTAAATCTGTTTATTGTACGAGGCTTCGAAGAATGAAGAAAAGAAAAAGTAAATGAAACTGTGTCCTGAAAGACCAATAAAAATACACTGACATTAATAACTGTCGTCATACTTGACAAGGCTACCATGGTGGCCGAAACGTCCTACAATAAACATAGATTAAAACATATATGTAGCCAGACAATGGAACATGAAAACCACACTATAAGTGCTTCAGTCGGAGCCTAAAAGTTGTCAATACAGTTAAGGGTACACTTGTTGGCGTAGAATGCTCACCCCCGTCGAATATGGAAGAGACATTCTCTGATTTCAGCCTAGAAGCTTGTTAATACAGTTCAAATGCGAACAAAGGAAAAATTAGGTCTAATAGGGCCAGCTATGCTATTTTTTCTAACGTTCTGCAGCTTAGGTTAAAGTGTACGGTTAGGATACAACCGATTCCGTAAAAATTGTCATATATTGTGCTACCATTGTCTTTTTCATACTGAAGCAATCGTGAAGGCTTAGAATGCGCAAGTGTTGTGGAAGGATAAATCCATATCGATAGAGAAGGACCAACCGCCCGTTGATGTGAAAGATGCTTCAGATTGCCTGTTAAGGCAGCAGCTCTCCAGATATGTGAAAAGTATTCCAGGGCAGGTAAGCGCACTGAGACCATATCTGGACTTTGTGTAACGTGAAGGGTGTTAGGCACCGAAAGCACTTAGCTCTAAACAAGGAGCCATGATTCTCCCCAACAACTGCTTGGATAGATAGAACGGGAACAAACCATGACCTTCCTCGGTGATCTAAACTTGGCCATGCTTCAAAATCGGATATGCGTTTGGATGCCTCTTTTTTATGGATACCATTTATATCTACTGCGGTTCTTAACGTCAGCCTGGAAACGGATTGATAAGGACCAAGCTGCAGTATTACCAAATACACCGTGTACTGCTTCAACAAATAACCTGGCTGCTAGCACTTTTGAGCTATTTTTGGGTTCCAAATACAAAAATGCAAACCAATTCTCGACATCGATAATTAAGCATCTATACGTCAACGACTTTGGAAAGTCGGCCGAAAAATCACAGACGAGTGAACGTTAATTTACCGAGAAGTGAATACGTGTGTGTGTCTTGGACAGAAATAGCCCTGGAAATATATAAAATCGGGATACTCACTTAATCCCGTGAGGAGCACAAAAAATCCGACGAGTGATATTTATTGGAAAACGAAAATAAACAAAATACCTCCATAAATACCGATAGTGTCGTTGTATCTTTGTCAAGGAGGACAGTAGCGCAACAGCTGTGACACAGTCACACAGAAATATAAGAATTGGCTTGTCTAGAGTCCCGGGCTGAATGAAGATGAATTAATAAAATTAGAGGCATTCCGGCATCCACGAAGAGCCAGCGTTTAGGCTGGGTCTTTTTGCACCTCTATCCTTTCTATGCCTCAAGCTCTGGAGCTTGGGTAGTCAAGTGGTTAGCGCGTCGAAGTACCAATCGGTTGACCCGAAAAAGGGTCAAAGTTGGCCTAGTTTCCACGTTTCACCTCCTCACCATTACTACTACTACTACATGCCTCAAGCCCCGATCACCTGGCTTGGCTATAGCGTTGAACTCCAGCTCCTTGACATTCTGGGGATCCAAGATGTTAGACCCCAGTCTACTCTGCTTGTACACAGCGCCGAGGACTCCTGCTCTTTCGTGCAGCTACCCCAATCACATGAGGGTGGCACCTCAACCTGTTATGTCTAGACAGTAGCACCAACAGCTAACTTATGTTATCTAACATAATGTGCAAAGGTAAGCAACAATGTCCACCCAGTTCCATAGACCCGAAAATGAGCTTCTGTACCTGACGAAGTTCCGGGTTTATTATATCAGGTTTTTGGAATTCCTCTGAGCAAAGGCTGACATCGTCACTGTTTTTCATCTAGAGACTACCAGTTATGTTATGATGTTATGGCCAATACAACGTAAATGTACGTTTCTAATATAAACCGGAATCTCTCAAGTCCAAGATGTGGCACATATTGCTTGGCAAATTCTTGCAACGGAAACAGATTCCTTAAGGAACTCTCCAATGGATCGCATAACTACCTTCTTTGCTACTTCAGTGCCATATGAAAGAAAACACCCAGAAGTATTGAAATTGTTACAACAGTTTTTTGTATACGTGTCTTTTAGGGTTAGGTAAATAATTGATCAAGATTTTATCAAAATCCAACCGTTGAAAAAAAAGTAAAATATTAATAATAATGATAATTTCATCTTCAACTCGTCGCCCCATAACCCTTGCACGGTCATCATGTATCCACAAACAGAATTTGGAAAACTGTTCAGTAGAGCCAAAAGCCTAAGGCGACGGTCTTGGTGTGGGGCCGTTCTTCTGAGGCACTCTGTACCTCTACTCTTCGTGTGCGGTCTTTCTGATTCATTCTGAGCTCCCTGGTGGCTATTTTTCTAAAGGACCAATCAGCCTCACACAAGCCCACAATAATCAAATGATGATGATGATCAAATCGCAATTTAAGCAGCCTACAAGTACAGCTTACTTTTTCGTATGAACAGACAACCTCTCAAAAACCACTTTATCGATATGGTTGAAAAGCTCATCGTTTTTGACCTAATTTAAACAAACATACACCTAGAAAATCTGTGTAATACATTCATTACTGGGTGTTTTTTTTATGTCACTGAGTATATCTTTGCTAATTGCATCCTACCGTCACGCAGATACAGGTACTACTACTATTACCTTTAGTCTTATAGATGAAGCGGTCGCATTCGCAAACCAAATTTTGTTCCTGCGATTGACCTGAACCTGTGCCACTGACTTTGTTGTTGTCTCTTTCTGACGTCTTGATTCAAATCCAATAAAAACAAAGATAGACGTAAATAACGTAAAATGAAATTTCACAATAAAATTTATGTCGGTTTCCGTGCCAACTTTGTTCGGATTGGAGACGTGAGATGCTCTCTTATACCGCTCTATTAATTTATCAGTTTGGGGAAGCAGAGCAACTACGTTACGAGTCGAGACGGATAACTTTTTTATTGGTACGTAGGGGCCGTATTAAATGAGTTGTCAATGATAAACCAGGCACAGGGTCTTCCTAATATTAACATTGCGGCAGCTAAAATGTGATTCAGAATCATTGGGCACATTCGGCGCGTTATGCCAACAGCCATATGTGTCAAACGGACAAAGGCATTAAACACGTCAAGCGCTGTCGTTCTCTGATTTATGAGGATCAAATGCGAAATATCTTGGCACAGGGTCGGCTTGTTACAAGAGCAACATGATTTTAGATTAATACCAATTGTCAGAATCAATGCAAAAATCAACAAATGCACGCATAAAGTAGTTTGACAGCAAATGGGACATGTTCACTGATGAATTCACACACATAACCACGCTTATAGTATCTAATACAAGCAATAATACTTGCTCGCCTAGTTCTCTCCAAATTCGTTTCAGCTATAGCTAGAGTTTATTAGTTAATAAACCAAGCAGCAACCTGCGTTCCAGCTCTAAAAAGTAAATAAATTACATAATTATTCAGCTTCCATACAGTCGAATAATAACACATATAGCATCTGTAAGTACTGCAATACTAAAAACTTGGATAGTTATAAAGAAGAGTCTCTTCAGTTGGAAGAAAAACCCATTTTCCTTTCTGCATATTTTATAGTCTAATGATTACGTTCCATTTAAGCATCTCACTGGCGCGTGCATATATTATCTTACATATTAAAACAAAAGGGTATCGAGCTGGATCTCCCTTCCTCCGCTCTAGTCCCAAAAGAAAAGAAAAACTTACGCGACCATAGACGTATCCCAAAACAAATCTGAAGTATCTCTATATTTGTATTCCATAATTAAATCGATGCATTACATATATGAGAGCTATAGATATTCTATGCATACTTTTATGACCTTTATGAAAAACAGGCAATGATGCTTTTCAAATCCCTCCACTTGTTTTTTAAATTGATAAAGTTAGCAAGCTGGATGACGGTGATGAAATTGATGATTGAAAAACTATTTTAAAGTATGTATGAATAGTTTTTCCACTGAGATGCGAGTCATGTGATATCTCATGTTGAAGCTTCTTATCCGTATTTTATAACTATATAGTATGAAACCATCTTTTATAATGGCGGACTGGTAACATTATACTAACTTGTATCCCCTGTTATTGGTTAAAATAGTCCTTAGATCGGATAAAAATATTTACGATTTTTTATTGTTTTATTTTTCAACACTTGTTTTCTGTTGCATTCCTTTTCCTTTCCCTTCGTGCGCGCCCATGGATTCAAGCATATCATACATGCGACTCGAGCTCTGTGCTGAATTATCACTGATTCTCCTTTAGTTTTATATCCCTCTGTCTCTGTCTCGCTTGGACGGTTGATGCTCTATAGGAGAGCTCGTATTAAGAAGTCTGACGAGCAACCCTTTTTACCAACCCCCTTGTCCTTCTGTGTCCCTCCCACGCTTTTATTTTAGCGTCTCGCCTGCCAGAGCTGCCTCTATTCATTGCCATCTTTTTCGAATATTAGGTGCACTGTCGTATGAGTAGGTTGAGATTCATTATTTTTCACGTCGCCGTCGAAGAAAAGCTATATGCTTGCTGGAATTTTTTTATTTGGATGGCACAATCACGCTAGATTGAAATTGCCAGCATTCAGGGATTTGTAATGTAGACATTGTAGGGACTTTTTTTAATTTGCTGTTTTTGAGCGTTAGAGTTTTTATGAATCTTAGGACGTAGGAATATCGTGAACAAATTGCTCTCTGTCAAATT